AAATGATGAAAATTATGTTATCTAACACATGTTTGTTTAGAGTCACAGGTCCCTATTGTTTGATGATGAATCTTCATCTGGTGTTTGAAATTACTTGGTATAGGGTGGATCATGTTGTGGGGTTCTTTTGGTTATGTAATTTTTTTTTTATGCTCTGCTGTGTTCATTTTGACAGACGGTTATCATGTAGTATATGTGTTAATGGACTTCAATTTACTACAGACGGTTATCATGTAGTATATGTGTTAATGTTTTAATTAAGAATTTTTTAGTCAACAAAATGTTTTTTTCTTTTAAAATTTTATGCTTTATAATTTAAGTTTTCAGATATGATGTTGTGGTATTGTTGAATCCTGGGAGTGGGAAGTAGCAAATAAAACCGAATTAATTAACTTATTGAAGAGGTGTTGATATCCGAATTAATTAACTATGCAATTTGTGTTTGTTTTTTGTAGCGCATTTCATGTTGTATGGTTTTGAGTCCACTCACAATAGGACTTGCCCTTAATTTCACGTTCACAACAAATCAATTTAAAAATAATTAAATCATGTTAAGATTGTGCATAGTATAATCATATTCGTGTTCCATAATTTTATATACATATATAAATCATAAATGGGTTCCATGCGATTTTTTTTTCCGTAATGATTTTAACTACCATTAATATATCAACTTAATATCGCATATATGGTGATGAATCATATAATTTTATGCGATTCAACTTCCTAAAATTACGTCGTGTACCATATTTTTTTAATTACTAAATGATCACCATACTAATTTATTCCGTAACTTCCATATGTGTATCCACTAAATCACGTCCGGAATTGGCGCACAGTAAGTTTATCTGATTTTTTTTTTTTTGGCGCACAGTAAGTTTATTTTTTTTTTTTTTTTTTTGAATTATCGTAAACAACTGGGAACGTCATCTTCATTTTCCGACAATGGCAACGGAACATACAACCGAACAGTGGAAATTCATTGGACCTTCAACGGACTACAACACCCCTGTAAGTATAATACACCTTGTTTAGATTTGTATAAGTTTTAACATCCAGTGTTTTTTGACAGATCTTGTTTAATTATTACACAGGATTTAATTCCATGGAAAATGACGAAGATATTAGTTTCAACTCACCTGAAGCAACCGATGCCAAAGCCAAGATTTCTCGTCACAAGGACGATAATGAAATGCGCGATAATAGTTTTATGTCATGGGAGGATGCTGAAAAATGGTACATCAATTATGCCAGGAATGCAGGCTTTGATGTTAGACGATGCAACTGCAAGACTACAAAGGAGGGGTTGGTTAAGAATAGGCAATGGGAGTGTTCTCGGGCAGGCTACAGACGTAAAACTTTGGACGAACACCAAAGAATTCGAGCGGAAAAACCAAACATGAGATGTGGCTGCGATGCCAAATTCCGTGTTGCACATGATGCCAATGAGGGATTATACCGTGTCACCAAATTCGAAAAATCACACAATCATCCTCTTGAGAGTGTGGAAACAGCTCATCGTCTTAAGTGTAATAGGTAATAACAATTTTTAGGTTTCAATCGTATCTACAAATTAGATAAACAGTACCTGTTTTTTTATATTAAAAATGATGAATAAATTAATCGCAGTATTTCTTGTAGGCAAATGTCGGAATCTGAAAAAACATTGTTGATGACAATGAATGATGCAGGCATCCGGACATATCAGACGTTGAATTACATTGAAAATATGTCTGGTGATCATACAAGCATACATCACAAGAAAAAAAATGCATACAACTACCTTTCGAAGCAAAGGAATGATACAATGCGTAGTGGTGATTTTAATACTGGTCTTGCTGTGCTCGAAGGAGTGAGGATCAACGATCCTAACTTGGTTGTAGAAACAACGTGCGACGATGAAGGGAGGTTAACCAAACTTTTTTGGTGAGATGGTTTTTCTCAGGCAGCCTATGTGCAATTCGGTGATATTCTGATTTTTGACAGCACGTACAAAACAAACACATACAAATTTCCATTGGTACTATTTTCGGGGATAGATAACCACCTGAATACCACAGTATATGGTGGGGCATTGCTGCAGAACGAGACAACCGAGTCATACGTATGGTTGTTAACAGTGTTTGTTGCGTCAATGAAAGGGAAGATGCCTATTACTGTTATGACTGATTAAGATGAGGCAATGCGTGCTGCAATAAATAAGGTCTTACCTGATGCTAAACACAGGCTATGTGCCTGGCATCTCGAGAGAAATTGTGTCCAACGAGTTAAGGTCCATGATTTTTGCAAAGTGTTCGGTAATTTCGTAATGAAAAATTGGACAACTGAGGAATTTGAATCAGAATGGGAATTGCAAACTCTCAAACATGGTGTAGCGGATAATCCATGGGTCAAAGAAACGTTCAGAAAAAGACATCAATGGTGTGATGCTTACCTTCGAGGGAGTTTTATAGGGATGACAAGGACAACCCAACGAGCAGAATCTTTGAATGCGCTCTTCAAACATGGAGGCACATCCGGTAGAAAGATTACGGAGCTCCTCAAATGTTTCCATCGCGTTGTGCGATCATTGCGTTCAACATTCTTCAAGAAGCAGGAAAATTCGGAGATGAATCCATTGGACATTCCATTTGGAGCACCACTACACGGGATTCAGAATCAACTAGCTGGAATATATACACGCTCCGTTTTTGCTAAAGTTCGGAAGGAGATAGAAGACGAGCAGAGTAATATTGTACTTAATAATCAGAGTTTCGATGGAGACTCACATGTATTCAAGCTGGAAAGATATGGTCATGCAGAACGTAGACGTTTCACTGTACGCGTAATTTTAAGTGAAGGCAATTTCGAGTGTGATTGTAGAATGTTGGAAACTGATGGTTTGCCATGTAGTCATCTCATTACCGCATTCAAGTACTTGCATCTTCGAAAAGTTCCCACCCAATGCATACGGAACAGATGGACGACAATTGCTGGAAAAGAGCTTAGAGAAAAATTTCACTTAATACCTGCAACTAATGATCCACAACGAAAAAGGTATTCTCAACTGTATACGGAATCAGTTGACATGTGTCTGAAGGCGTCGCAGAATGAATCCGATACGTTAAGATGTTTGAAGAAAGTTCGACGTGCAACGGATACCATACACAATAAACTAGAACAAGATACGGGAAAATCAACTGATGATATTGATAAAGAATCACAAGTACTTAAGGATCCAGCTAGAGGGTGTAAATAGAATGAAAATTCGGGCGACCCACGTAGGACTAGGTCTAGAGGGGCACCTCCAGCAAAGAAGCAAAGATGCAAATCATGCGGGTACATACTTTATACCTTACACATGAAAATATTTATTCTAAGACACAAGTATGTACTTTATTTATTATTTACGATATGCGACTCGACTTTTGTTTTGCAGTGAACCTGGGCATAAAACGACTACATGTCATTTGAAGATATCGAGTAGTCAGCCGTCACAGTCTGAATTTGGAAATGAGGATGATTTTTTCACTCCAATCGGAACTCAATTTAAATGAAATGAATACAGTGAGACACGATTTTTTTTTTATGTATGTTTGGGGAGAGGGGTTAAGTTCCAGTGAGCTACTTAAACAGTGCTTTAACCCTTTATTGCAGGTGAAATACCTAATATAGCTTTGGAGTGTGGGGCTCTTGTGGACAGGATGGTGTGGCATGGGCAAAGTGAAATAGTTGTTTTTTAAAATCACCAAATTAAAGATTGAACCAGGGATGCAGACTCATATTGAAGATCATGAGCATATTGTATGTTCTGAAGACAAGTGTGTAATATGATTTTTTTGGAGTTTGTCCACTCGAAGTCAAATGTGTTTTTTCCTGGGTGTCTAGTTGTGCCTCTTGGTAGACTAGTTCACTTGTAATCATTTGGCTATGCCGTATTCGAACTTGCTTATTTGATTTTAATTCAAGTATGTCGCTTGTACAATAAAATAAAATAAAAATATCGGCTAAGGTTTGTAATAAAATTTATGAAAGTCTAATGAAGGAAATCATATACAATGAACAGCGAGATTCACAAGTAGTTAAAGTACCCATCATATTAAACAACCAAAATAGACAAAACATCAACATCAAAGTCAGGCTAGTGATATTTAACAAGTTTCATCCAACAAAATCCAACCTATTTCATCAGTGAAACATCCATAATAACATAAACTTACAGAATGGCATGGCGGTCTATTGCCGACGAAAGTAATCCTGAAACCCGTCAACGTCGCTTACATGAGAGCAAGCGTCGGATATGGAATCGTCAGAAAAAGTTTCATTCATCAGTTCATCATTCGCAGCTGGGGTATCGAAGTTCGTCGAGTCGACCACCTCTCTCGAGATTGTCTTAGGCTCCATTTCATCAGGATACTCGATCAAGCGGCCTAACGGTCGGAAGATTGCCAGTAGTGTATCCCACTTCGGGTCCAGTTTATCAAACAAGTAGAATGAAATTGCCCAATGCTTGATTACAGGAAAAAATACATTGTTAAATGACATGACAAAAGAGTTCGAAAAACAGCTGTTCAGAACTGGATAATTCATCTTTACCTCAATGGCGACATCTTGAACGATAACGGGTACATGCATGGTAAAATTGTAGAGGTCGTGAAACACATCCTTCTGCTCCAACAGCCAATTCATTGTACGATACCTTTCTTTGAGGACATTGTACATCTTCCAAGTTTCCTTTAAAGAGAACCCAATGTTTATCTCTTTGACAAATGTTGCATGGATCACCCTAAAGTTAAGACAAATGTCTGACTCTTGGTTCATGCGCTCCATTACGACGAAGCGCCGCAAAATCACGCAAAACCTGTCCTCGATCCATTGCTCCCACCGTTTGAGCATCCCATCTCTAATATACTTGAAATAGCCGCGCTTGGTCTTAGGCAATGTAAAATCATCCATTGGTGCTTACTTATTTTTTGTGTTTTTGCAGCACTGCAGAATCTGAAGTGGTGGTTTTGGTATGAATGGAGATGAAAGGTTACCGGCTGTTTTGGTATGATGGGAAAAAGTAAGGTAACTTGTGGTTTTATATTTTGTTAAGTGTGCTTTTGGGCTATGATAGCACTGATTGGTTGGGGTTCAACAAGCATTAACACCTTTTATGCTGTTTTGTTCAAGTATGCGTGGCCCTTTAAATTGATGCGACCCTTGGTAGACCTCATCACGTGGGCTTGCCCGGATTCATTTTCCCATTAAATTGCTTTGTTGACATTAAGTCCAAATTGCCCTCATATATAAATATAAAACTTGAAATCGGGTTGCAAATGGAACCCTAAGCTCCGCAGCTCCTCCTCGACACGAAGACAAACTTGAAATCTTAGGTGAGATTTAATTTCGTTGAATTTCGCTGAATTTTGGTTCATTTTTTAAGACAAACTAATTGGACACAAGTGTTATCGGAGACTTTGCTAGTGTCCAGTTTCTAGGTTAAATTCTACGTATTGGTGTCTGATTTGAACCTGTGTTTTTCGCCTTTTGGCCATTGTCTGTGAGTGCTTTTTGTTTTCATTTCGAACAATGATGGTAAATTTGTTGACACTATTAATTATTGAATGTTGTCTTTCTTAATTTGTTTTCATTGTTGTAGCTTAATTTGTCCAGTTATCTGTTATTTTGGTTTGGTTAGTCCGTTTGGTATAGCTTTTCAGGATCCTGGTAAATGCGGTTTCAACAAGTTATTCATAATTGTGCTTTTTTTTGGATGTACTCTTGTGGTTCTGATTTTTTTCAAATAAACTGTTAATTGGTTTGCATAGTTTACTTGTATATTTTCACGATGGGATCTAGATTGGAACGAGCTGCTGTGTTGGATTCTCATCTTATTTAGTTCTCTGTTTTCTAAACCACTCCATTGGACAAAGCCCTTCTCATAAGATATGAAGCTTTTTAGATACAAGAACAATGGCACTGTTATGTTTCTATAATTGCTGTGGTAATTAATTTAGTACAACTTTGTGCGTCATAGGCAACATTTTGTGTTTGCCGTACAGTCCAAATGAATAAGGTCAGAGTATAGATCTTTATTTCTGATATGCTAATTTGAATGTGTTTTTCTTAGGTGTTATGTAATGGCTGACGAGTGGACAAGATTTTTTAAGATCATTCTTGAGACACAAATGAGTTCCCTGGTACGAGGGTCTTTCTAAATAATAGCATAATATGTTATGTTAATTTTTTTCCTGGTTTTGTTGGTGTACGTTATATTAATCTATATTTTAAACTTCATATACTTAGTCTCTCCCTCCTGCAATTTCGGAACATTATGGGTCCGAGCTTCCACAAAAATGTATAATCCAGACTTTAGAAGGACGTGAGTATGAAGTAACTCTGAAAATGGTGGATAATCAGCCGACCTTGGTCGAAGGATGGGATGCTTACATTCAGGCAGAATACATTGAAATACATTACATTCTGTTTTTCAAGAGAATCAATAATTTCCATTTCGAAATTATGGTGACGGACAAAACTGGTTGTGAAAGAACACCGATATACCACTTTTGTTTGGACATAAAAAAATCGCACATTGACCGGGCACGCTTCGTAAGTAAACACTGCTTAAATCTTTATTTTTTCAAATGAATACTATTTCATATATATCTCCCATACGCTGAAATGAACTGACAAAAATGCAGCCAATTCCAATACGTTTTTGGAGAGACCACATCGAGGGAAACTTTAACAACTACACTAAGGCTGTCATCATGTTCAATGAGAAGGTTTATAAAGTTGATGTAATTCATGGTAATGGCAAGAGATTGTTGCAAAACGGAGGTGCTCGACAGTTTGTGATTGATAGTGGCATATTGGTTGGTTCTTCATGCATGTTCCCCCACGTAGGACCACTCAACCCATATAAAGTGATCAAGTTCAGGGTTAGGAGTGGTTAGTAGTAGGGATCAAATTTAGGCCATGACAAACTTATGTTCTTTTTTGTAATTCACTTGGATGGTGATTGAAATTATAATATCTGTTTTAATGAATTGTAAGCTACTAGATACATGGTCCTTTTGTTCGGTTGGTAGCCTAACTTTGGTAACTATATTTTCAAGTGTCTTGTGTGCTGATTTGGAATCTTCTGATATTTGTTGTGACTTCATTCACTTTCATGCGGGTTTGAAAAAATAAACTCAATTGACATTGAATTATAGAAAATCTGAGAAATATCTTAAACATTAAGATGGTTGTCGGTTGCCTTTCCAAGTTAACCTGTCTGTTCATTATATTGCACTTTTACTTATTTTGCTGATTCCAGTTTTTATAACAAATCATGAACATGTGACTCGTATTAAGAAGTGGTATTTGTTGGATACGAACACGCATTTATGAATGTCAACTCATAGACAGACGTGTACAAGTACCTTGTCAAAAATAGCCTCCATAATCAACAACAAGACTTTTTTTTCCCAAACGACAAACAGACAAAATATTATTGCTCAAACCAAAGTCTTAACTAACGAGATCGAAGTAGGCACAAAGCAACATTAACCAACACCATGTCAGTCTATGCTACATGAGGAAATCAGATTATAAATCCCCTTGGAACGCCATTGTGGCAAAAGAAAGTGAAATTGTACAAGTAGCAGGTTACCTTCTTCAAAATATATACTATAGCTCTTTCCACAACACACACCCACAGTATATGCCTCCACTGAAACTATAAAATAAGTACTTGAAAGAATCACACAACTGCAGATTACCCTCTTCAATGAAAGCCCTACCTCCCAACCCCTATCTTCAATTGATCCTTTACCAACTAAACCCACACTCCTTATTTCCCAGGCAATCCCAAGAAACCCCCAACAGCTACCAACACAACTTACCTCTATGACAAAGAAAAATCACACAAAATTTCACACACAACTTCACAACTTCACACTCAATCGCCTTCTTCCTCAATTGGACTCTAAATTAATATACTCAAACCAGCATCTCCAAAGGAATGTTTTGATCTTACTCTGAAAGGGAAGCTACCAAGTTACCTTCCACATGTTCAAGATTTCCTTATGATTGCCACAATCACCCGTACTGACCTCAGAATACCTTCAGTGCTTATTGATGGTGTTGTAGACTTCTTTGACAGAGAAAATGCCTGACCTGCACCAATCCCACACCAGATTATGTCTCAAGCTCACAGGATTCAGAAGAATGCGCTTAAGTCTTTGAACACCAAACCCCCCCATCCTTGGGTCTATCTAACTTAAGAATAATGAATTAGATCACAACATCATGGACAAAGAATCACAAAAATTAATACAACGGATTAAATCATCATGGACAACATCACAACGGATACCAGGTTGATGTCATCATGGACAAAAATAAACGAGATTAAATCACAACGGATTCCAGGTTGATGTCATCCCAAATGGATTAGTATACAAAACTTAAAAACAGTACAGACATATCAGGGATTGATCAACTGGCCATTAACAACAAAACACGAAGCAACACACATTCATCAACCCTATTCAGGCATGTCATCAAACATGTAATGTGCTTGATAAGGACAAACAAAAAATAAAAGAAACGTCCGTCAACAAATTCACCTACTGAAATCAGATCAAATATTTTTCCAAAAGCATTGAATAAAGGGAATTGTATAACAAAATCATCAGAAAATATTCGAGATAATGACGGGAATTTACAATCATATATCAAACAACGTTGCTTGTCTTTACATTTGGAGTACAAAATCACTATGACGCAAACGCATTTCAAAAATACCTAGATGCGGCGACCGCGCCTCATAAACATTTGATTGGATATGTACCAATTTTTTACGTATGGTTCGTGAATCGTTCGAACAATTGTGTATGCTGGAAGTATAGTTCTGGGATTTTGATGAGAAAGTGAATAAATTTATGGGAAGTCGATGAAGATGAGGTTGTCGGAGAACAAACGAAGAACAAGAATAATTAGAAGAACAATAAGATTTTTTTTTTTTTAATTCGTATAATGATCAGATGATAAATAATACAAAAGTTGAGGATGTAATGATATGTTATTGTAATTGTAGGATTGTTAGACAAATAAGCTAAATAAATGTCCTTCAAAATAAATACAATTAAGATTTTATAATTAATTTATGTTTAAATTAAAAGTAAGGGTATAATTGGTTTTTTACCATGTACGAGGTGTACGAGCCATGTACGAGGCAATACATGTACGAGGCAAATTCTTTTTTGCCTCGTACATTGAATATGTGGTTGATATTCAATCTTGAAACAATCTAATGGTTAATAAGGGGGGTATCTGATGTTATGCACGTACGAGGGGTACCTGACCCTAGAAGATCCCATCTAACATTCATATTGGATCCTAACTCTCTCTCTCTATATATATAATCGATCCCATATAAACTAATCCAAACAGTATAAAATAGTAAACTGAATATTACATAATACACATGCCCCAAATGACTTGAAAATTTACAGCATATTATGAACATATTTTCATTATATAACATGCATAATCTTACCATGATATAAATAAGTGAAGACATATAAGGAATTAAATAACACAAAAATCGCTAACTTAGTAAATTAAGTAAACTACAACATCACTATGTTAACGATTGTTATTTCCAAATCTGAAATGAACAAATCCCACCACTTAAGGGAGCATTTAATGCTACCTAATTTTATATTTAAAAAAATTCAAAAAATTTCCAAAAGTGACATGCAATTAATTTTCGCGGATTTTTTGCTTACTATTTCTAGTAAATAGTTATTCTTATTATATACACACACAATATTATTTTTATATTTTTCATATAGAAAATAATATTTATTGTCAACCAGAGAAATAAATATATATAATATAAAATGAATGTATCAAAATACATACTCTGTTCACATTATAGAAATAATATATTATTTTCGGATATTTTGGTTAATTCAGTCAATCGATCGAATACATCAAGTAATTCGGTTCGGTTTTAATCTAGTTTGGGACATAAGTTCGTTCGGTTCAGACTACACTATATCGACAGAAACCGTGCACAATAGTGTTATACGAATTACACATTAAAGTTTAACATACTGCACAATAACGCACGAGCCAACCGATATAAAATTTTCAGTTCAATATTTTATATTTCGATCCGATTATCTATTTTTACTATTAAAATTCTTGTTATCTTGGTATGATGACATCTTTATATTTTTAAAATAACCGAACCGACCAAATTATATATATATATATATATATTGTTTGATATATATGCCAAACTTTATATAAAATATTAAATACATATATTGAAATATTAAATTTATTTTATAATGATTAATAAATTATTTTGAGATTTGATCTTATTTCATTTAACGATCGGACAAATCGTGCACAATAGTGCTAGACAAATTGCTCATTAACGACTGACATATTGCATAAAAGTTATCGAAGTCGAAGAAAATAAAATAACTGGTCCGAATTTTTATATGTATGTTTAGTTATTATTTTTTACTTTTAAAAGTTAGGATATTCTTTGTTTGATTTTGGCTTTATTTGTAATTTAACTGAAATAACCAAACCGACCAAACTATATAAAAAAATATTATTTTTATATTTTTATATAAATATAATATCTAGTATGAGTAAAATATAAATAGAAATTATCAAACAAAGATATTAAAATATAAAATATGTTGTTATAATATAAGTTACAATTTATTCCAGTTATTTTGATTAACTCGATTAACCAACTGGATGAACCAAGTATTTCTGTTCAATTTTAATTCATTTTGGTACATCAATCGGTTCAACTTTTCCAAATGTTTGACTCAATTATTTCAATTTTAACGTTTCGATCGATCAGTTTCACAAAACCAACGGATGAACAACATCGTGTATTATGCAGCGCATTGATAAATTTATAGTTTTTTCAAAATTTTAATGTGCACATAGACACACGATAATGTGCGCGTTAGTTTTCATTATTGTGCAATGGCGTTGAACACTAATGTGCACTGATTTGAATAATATTTCCCAATTATTAAAGTTTTGATACATTTAATATTTACTCCATAAACTAAATTTCCAATATATTTAACTTTAAGAAATTACAATTCAGCCCATAGGACTTATCAAATTTTCAATTGGAGGCCCAAATTAATAATCTTAAATCTACATTTACAGGCTGTGTTCATCCTACATCTTCCATCTTGATGAAATCCTCATACGACAAGCAGGGAAAGCTCCGCCCGAATCTCGTCCGCCGCTGTCGCACCGCCACTGCCGGTGGAGGCAACGACCATCTGAGGAGACGACGAGATGAAAGTAAGACGATGACGGGCTCTGCCGAATCGCAGGCCCTTGACGTCGGAGGAGGTAATGATGGAGAGAACCGCCGTCTGCTCGGTCAATGTGGCCGTCGCTTGGTCGGTAGCGGTGGATTTTGTGCTAGTGGTGCCGAGATTTGGCCGTGTGCTAGCTCCGTTCAGTCAGATTGTCCACGAAATTAAGACCTCCGATGACGGCAGCGTCTCAACGACCGTGGACAGTGGAGGTCCGGTGGCAGCAGGAGTGTCGTGATGTTTGAAGGCGGCGGTGACTGTTGGCTATGGCGGCGGTGACGGGGCTGTTGGTTATGCCGTCGCCGGTGGCGGTCTAGGGTTGCGCGGCACCAATAATAGTGGTTGCCGACGGACTCAGTTTGTGTGTGTGTGTGTTCCGTGAATGTGCGACTGTGTGTGTGTGTGTGTTTTTTTTTTTTAAATAGATTACAAAGAATATGGCATATATGAAATCTCATAACATCAAACTTAGAGTCATACAAATAAGTGCCGGTAACATGAGAGTACCACACGCAGGTGGCCTAGACAACAAGGAAATGAAACCAAGAGACCAATTACATAGCTATTGGGATAAAGCATTTGACAAGAATGAGCCT